ATATAATAATATAATATTAATATTTATAGTATTATTATAATATTACATAATATTACAATATTGTTATGCAATTATAATTATATAATTATAATTATAATTATAATTACATGTTATTTATATTGTATTGTACTGTATTATACTGTACTGTATACAAACCTTAAAATTTAAATAGCAAAACATTCCCAGCCCTTATCTTGCCCTTTATTCTATTTATCCTTCATTCCAAATTCACTCCCATAGTAGGTGTTTCACCCCATCTTCTGGAAAGGTACTCAAGAACTTTATTCCAGTCACCAATATATTTTTAAAACTGTTCATTTTTTAGGCCTTTGGTTTATTTGTTGTTGTGTGCCTTCAAGTCATTTCCAACCGATGGTGACCCCCCTATCATGGGGTTTTCTTGGCAAGATTTGTTCAGAAAGGTTTTTGCCATGGCCATCCTCTGAGGCTGAGAGAGTGTGACTTGCCCAAAGTCACCCAGGGGGTTTCCATGGCCAAACTGGGATTCGAACCATGGTTTCCAGAGTCTTAGTCCAGTGCTCAAACCACTATACTACACTGGCTGGCAAAGTTCTGCCTTCAAATGCCAGAATTAGCAATAAAAAAAGGGAATGTGCTGTAATTTTTGCATCCCATTAATCTTTTTTCATTCCCCAGTCCCAGTCCTCAGATATGGGACATGGGAAGGAAGAAATAGAAGCATGCCTTGGAGCATGTGCAGAGTTTCTTTTATTTCATCTCCTCATTGCAACCGCTCCACCGCATCTCACATTCCAGAGTAAGATGTTCATTGCCTGGACCGATGCAGATTGGACACTCTTTTAAAGAAAGAAGCCGAAAATGCCAGTGACAGCTTTCCGCCCTTAGCATCACTGCATCTGCACTGCCGGATTAATGCATTTTGGCACCACTTTAACTGCCATGGCTCAATGCTATGGGAATTCTGGGATTTGTAGTTTCATGAGATATTCAGCTTTCTCGGTCAGAGTGCTCTGGTGCCACAACAAATGACATATCCCAGGATTCCATAGGATGGAGCCATGGCAGTTAAAGCGGTCTCAAACTGCATTAATTCTGCAGTGTGGCAGCACCATTCCCAAGACTCATTTCTCTGTCCGTCCCTTGCTGGCTTTCTGAGCGAAAGCAGCAACATTTCTCTGGTTTCTGCAGCTTTGATGCCAAACACATGCGTTGTGTAGCAGAAAAAACGGAGACACCATGGACTGAAGGAAAGTGAGTGTTTATTGAAAAAGTAACAATAGCGGGCCCAGCAGGAAATAACTTTCCAGAGGTGCTTTGCCCTGAACTGAGCAACTGAGGATCTCTTTATAGGATCACACATATACAAAGAGCAGATGGATAACTAGTTTCACAATATTCAGCACTTCTTGATAAGCAGACATTGTTTGCAGAACAGGAAAATCTATGTAGGACAGAGAAAATGTTTACAGTACAGGAAATCTGCGGTCTTATCAGATATTATTATCTGTGAATATCCTGATTATCTGAGATATTCTATTATTCTGAGAATATCTTGGTATGCTTTGTTGTTGGATTGACCCTGACTCATGGTGATCCTGTGGATGAGGCATCTCCAATAATAATAACAATAAATTTCCATGGGAATTATTTTACTATTTCTATTTCCTCATTGTCTAGAACTTGTGAAAGTCCTTAGTGGTCATTATTTTTGTTTTCTTTATGTTCAACATAAAGCCAGCCTTTCCACTTTCTTCTTTGATCTTCCTTAGTAGGTCTTCCAAGTCTGTGAGGGTCTCTGCTAGTATTACGGTGTCGTCAGCATATCTCAGATTGTTGACGTTTCTTCCTCCTATGTTCACTCCTCCCTCTTCCATGTCCAAGCCCGCTTTCCTTACAATATGTTCTGCATACAAGTTGAACAGATAGGATGAAAGGATGCAGCCTTGTCTTACTCCTTTGCCAATTGGGAACTATTCTGTTTCTCCATGTTCTGTTCTGACAGTGGCCTCTTGTCTTGAGTACAGATTCCTCAGAACTTTTCAAGTGTTGAGCCTACTTCCTCAGATGCAGCATGCATCTACAACAGGGGTAGGCAACCTTTCCCCTTTAAGGGCTGAGGGACTTCAGCTCCCAGAATCCCAGGAGCTATTGGCCAACATGGGACTATTGGCCAACATGGCTGAGGCTTCTGGGAGCTGAAGTCCCTCGGCCCTTAAAGGGGAAAGGTTGCCTACCCCTGATCTACAAGATCTACAAGCTACAAAATCCCTTTGCATGCTGACCTTCCAGACTAACACAGCTATATTTTTGAATTATATAAATATGTAATATTAAGAAATACTAATTGCATGTTGAAGTTATTACTATTTTGTTTAGGCAAAATAGGATGCATCCACACTACAGAATTAAAGCAGTTAGACATCCCTTTAATGGCCATGACTCCATCCTACAGATTCCTGGAATTTGTAGTTTGGTAAGGTATTCAGCCTGTTCTGTCAGAGTGGTCTGGTGCCTCACCAAACTACAGATCCCAAGCAGTTTAAAGGGGTGTCAACATGTTTTAATTATGCAATGTGGGTACACACCCATATGCAGTACAGGTTTGCGAACCGGGCGTGCCAAAGCAAACTTTGGCTGCATATGCACTGCAGAAATAATCCAGGTTGAGACTGCTTTAATTGCCCTGGCTCAATGCTAGGGAATTCTGGGAACTGTAGTTTTGTGAGGCAGTGAGGCTTCTCTGTCAAAGAGCTTTGGTGCCACAATAAACTACAATTCCCAGGATTCTCTAGCACTGAGCAAGGGCAGTTAAAGTGGTTTTAAACTGGATTATTTCTGCAGTGTGTTTTGGCCCAGAGAAGGCCAACTGTCTCACAAAACTACAGTTCCCAGGATTCTCTACCACTGAGCCAGGGCAGTTAGAGCAGCCTCAAACTGGATTATTTCTACAGTGCCCTTTGGACCTAAAAAACTCCTGACACTTAAAGCAGTGTCATAGAATCATAGAATCAAGGAATTATAGAGTTGGAAGAGACCACAAGGGCCATCCAGTCCAACCCCCCTGCCAGGCAGGAACTCCCAATTAAAGCATCCCCGACAGTGTCAACTCAGATTAATTCTGCAGTGACTTTGGACCTAAAAAAATTCTGACACTTAAAGCGGTGTGAACTTGGATTAATTCTGTAGTGCGCTTTGGACCTAAAAGACTCCTGATCATTAAAGTAGTGTCAACTGGGATTATTTCTGCAGTGCCCTTTGGACCTAAAAGGCTCCTGGCAGTTAAAGCGGTATCAACTCGGATTATTTCTGCAGTGCGGACGCAGCCCTCCCCGGTTCCTTTAGGGCGCCTTCAAAGGCCGAGGCAGGGAGAAGCGCGTGTCCTTTGCTGCCCCCTGGTGGCCTCGTGCCGGTAAGCGCAGGGGGGGAGCCCTCGCGTCCTCTGCAGTTGCTGGGCATCGGGGCGGCATTGTGAGGCTAGGCTGGGCTGGGCTCCCTCCCTGCTTACGGCCGGCCGGCGGCAAAATGGCCGGTGCCTACCATTGGGAAGCCCGCCGCAGGCAGATGCTGATGGAGCGCCGCCTGAAGCTGATGCAGGTAGGTGCCTTTAGGGCAGCAAAATGGAAGGAGGGAGCATCAGCAAGAGAGCAGGCAGAGAAAAGGGAGGCAGGGTGGCCAGACCCCCTTTTTTTGGGGGGGGGTCCTCCTTTTCCCGGACGTGTCCTCCATTTCAGCCTCCTGTCCAGGAGGATAGAAGGCTGACATTCTGTCCAATGCATGCTATGGGATTCTGGGGTTTGTAGTTTGTTGGGGGCACAAAAAAGAAATCCGTATGTACAGAGATCTTGCAACACCTTTGAGACTCACTGAAAGAAAGAAGTTGGCAGCATGAGACTTTGCAAACTTCAGTCTCCTTCCTCAGATGCATTTGTTGGTCTTGTTGTTGTTATTATTATTATTATCATTAATGTAGAAAGATGTTGTAACACCTTTGAGACTAAAGACATAGGCAGCAAGAGCTTTCCTAGACTTAAGTCTACTTTCTCCAAATGCATTTATTATTATTATTAAATGTTGTTATTATTAAAATAGTAATAATAATAATAATAATAATAATAATATAATATAGAGAGAGATCTTCTAGCACCTTTGAGACTAACTGAAAGAAAGAAGTTGGCAGCATGAGCTCTCTTATACTTCAGTCTACTTCCTCAAATGCATTTGTTGTTGTTATTATTATTATTATTATTAATGTAGAGAGATCTTGTAACACCTTTGAGACTAAGGGCCTTTGCAGACTGCCAGAAATAGTGCACATTAAATTGAGGCACTGCCCTGGCTCAGTGCTAGGGAATCATGGGAACTGTATTTTATTGTGGCACCAGAGCTCTCTGACAGAGAAGGCTCAATGTCTCAGAAAAAAATACAATTCCCATGATTCCCTAGCACTGAGTCAGGGCAGTGCCTCAATTTAATGTGCACTACTTCTGGCAGTCTGCAAAGGCCCTAACTGAAAGAAAGACGTAGGCAGCAAGAGCTTTCCTAGACTTAAGTCTACTTCCTCCAAATGCATTTGATATTATTATTATTATTATTATTATTATTATTATTATTATTATTATTACTATTTTAATAATAACAACAACAATTATGTAAAGAGATCTTGTAGCACCTTTCCAACTAACTGAAAGAAAGAAAGAAATGTTGCTCAATCTGGCAAATAAAGTTTCTGTGAAAGTAACTAGAAACCTCATTTTCACATTGTCCCTATGGGTGACAATACCAGTGCCCAGTAAATATTACAGTTAGTGCATCTCTGGCTGCCTCCGCACTGCAGAAATAATCCGGTTTGACACTGCTTCAACTGCCATGGCTCAACGTTATGAAACTCTGGGAATTGTAGTTTATTGAGGCACCAGAGCTTTTTGGAAGCGTCTCTGTACGCTGCAGGTGGTTGCAGTGGGAACTGATATGTCCCTCCTCCTTATAATGGCTGCATAACTGGTAAAGCACCCTAC